GTTCTCATTTATTTTTAAGGTGCTATAATTTGTTATCTTTTTTTAAGAAAACACAAAGTGATTTATTTGTTTTGCAACTTGTTTATGTTTTTTTTATGTATTTTTTTTATGTTAGACATCAATAAAAAAAATTTAAGTATTCTGCTGCTTTAAAATACTGATGAGGTATGGAATTGGGCTTTGCTTGTACTCACAAAAATTTTCCATGTTCATATATTCACAAACCAGATGAAACTATTTGTGGTTATACCTATTAGTTTTGAAAGTAAGTGGTTTAAATTGATTTTTTTTTTTCAAACTGTATTAATGGTCTACTTGAGCAGGTATCCAAGAACTGAAATTTGGTGATATGCATAGTTGGTGAGCAAATAATAAACATAAATTTACACAATATTAGAGCACTATTAAAATTATTGTAAGAGGTGCTTCTTTTTAACAAACAAGTTAAGCCAGCATTCCATGCTGGTACTAAACGGCATATTCAATAAAGAAAAATAATAAAGGCATATCTTTTATAAATTGTCAACATGTCATCTTTCTTATTATGTTGTGTTAAAATATCAGTTATGTGTCCATCCCATTTGAGATTATCGCTTATAGTTACTTTAAATATCTTAACATTATTTACAGTTTTAATAATGTTCTTGGGATCAATTTGTAAATCAGGATGGTGGCACATTTTTTGGCGTTAAGATTCATATTATTTTCTGCTGCAGTTAGTGAGTTCATTCAATTTTATCTGCAGGTTAAACGATGTTTTGATCGAGTTCTTGATAATGGTCATGTCATCAGAATTGAGGTATTTAATTGGTTAATCTGACTTCAAGTACTCCAGATCATTCATTGTTTTGTTGATGTGTGATCAGTGGCGAAACGATGGGGCCGGGGGCCCTGTGGCTTTCTGAGAGTGGGGATTTTTGGGTCCCAGTCGCCAATTCCACTGTGAGATTTTAGATGTGCTCGTTTTTTTAATTATGTTTGTCATTGCAGAGGCCAGGGAGAGACTTCCACTGATAAAGTGTCAATACCACCTCAGCCCCACCATGTTTGGGGATGAGGTAAGAAAATTTGGCCAGAATGGCACTCACAGACTTAAAATTAAAAAATATAGGGCCTTTTTAATTCGCCACTGGATATAATATCATTATACAGTCGATGTCAGAGACACATTAAATTATTTGTGTCAACAAAGCCCTTTTGCGTCGGGGCGCTAGATCGAAGATCATGTGGTTAGGGGCCTCTTCGGGGTGGGGGTCACTGTATGCAATAAGAAGCAAAAGGAACCAAGCTTTGTACCCCTGCGGGACACCTTCGTGGGTATTTAGGGAGTTTGATACAGCGTCCTTGTATTGTACCCGCTGTTGTCTATTGGTGAGGAAGCTACAAAGCAATGAAATGATTTCACGTGTAAATCCGAGATTCTGCATATTCCTGATTATAAGGTTGTGATTTATGGTATCGAACGCTGTACTGGACAGCACACAAATAGTGAAAACTGCCTTAGTTGGAAAATACTTGTTTATTCTAGTCTGAAATATCGACGTAGGCAACGAATTCAAAGTCAGCGAAGTCGACGAAGATTAACTGCAATACAATAAAATGAATTCGCTTTGCATTACCAAAATGATAAAAATGATTAAAACATTGATAAAAGTCACAAACATAGTTATTCTATATCGTAATTATTAACACATTAAAAAAAACAATGAATATGAGCAATGTATCGAGCCTATAAAGTTAAATCGATTTCATGATCAAGGTCGTATAGGCCTATACTCATTTACTTTATGATATGTCTTGTAAAAATATTAATGAATCTGTTATGAAAAAATATTGTTACCTAAAAATGGAACTTCAAAAACAAATTATTAAAACTATCTTAAGATGTGAATAATATAAATATGATTAAAGATAATGAATACAGAAAATACTTCAGGAATAAAACATAAAACATAGAAACTCGGCTATATGCATCAATTAAGACAAAAACGCCCAACAGTCAGACTAAGTTTATTTCGAAAGCTTCTAAATGTTTACAAGATGACCAAACATGTGAATGAATGTCAATAAGGCTAAAACGATATTCAAATATATTAGCCTATACAGCTAACTGGACATTGTTTGTTCCATTGGCGAATCTGAGAGGGGGGCCTGACCCCCCACTTGGGCTGCCAAGAATGAGTTACAGTTTAATTATAACTAATTTATAACAATAATTTGCACACATAATAGACCTATTTACTGTAATAAGAATGAGATAATTTATATGACCGATTTCAAGAGTCATTAAAAGACCTCTGAAGTCGGGAAAGCTCATTTCCTGCCATGAGGAATAAAAATTTTCCAGGTAAAAACCTCCGGACCCCCCCCCCCCCCCGGCCCCCCCCCCCCCCCACTCTTTTTTTTTCTTTAGGGTTCATCGATTCATTGAAAAAAAAATATGATTGTATGCAACTACTCAATTTTTTCATATATGTATGTATGTATATACACATACAGGCCTATATTACTGTAATAAGAATAAGAAAGTTTATCTGACCGTTCTCAAGTCTCAGGAGTGGGGAAACCTTGAATTTTAAACAACTTTCTTTTTGGGGTTTTTTGGAAAGATTTTAACTCCCACCCACCACCCCTAAATTTAAACCTAGAACTGCCCGTGTATTTTGCATGTCTATTACACACTTATACTCACAAATGTAGGTAACAATTGGTCGTAAAATTTGATAAAAATGCACCACTAAAATCTATAGTTTGAATTTATATACCTAATCTGTTTTAAGTAATTTGTTATCAGTACTATAGCTGCTTCATTACGATGAAAATGTTTTATACAGACGATTATAGATTTTTACAAGTTGACCAAGGCTTTTGCTGCATCCTATCCTTCTCACACGATCACTATTCAAACAGAAAGCAGCAGATTGATGTTTTTCCAGCAAACACTTAGATATGGAACACCGTCACTCCATCGTTGTTGGACAATTTTCTCATATGAAAATGTGAGTGTAAAGCTTCTTGAGTGTATATAAATAGATAAGAATTGTACATAAATAAACCACATAAAATCATTGTCGATGGAGTACGACATCGGCCTTCTGATTTGTCCCCGTCCCGATATTTTGAATACTCCTCTTCCGCGAATTGTTTTATTGATAAATTGTGCAAATTGTTTGAATATCAGAGGCTCAATAAATCACTTAAATTACCATAACCATAATATGGTTATCTTGGCAACAATATTATATAATTGACATTCTCCAGCTTCAGGATGTTCGTTCCTTGGACTCCTTAGCTGCAGCAAAGTGGTCAACATTAACTAAATTAACACCAAACTGCTGTTTAAGTGTCCAGTTTTATGAATTAATAGAAATATCGCTCGTTATTGTGCCAATTTTTTTGTTTCAAATTAAAATACCATGAAACAAGCTTCCTGAAAACAGATTTTTAGTAGGTCATATCTAGGTTGATGTGTGGCCAAAACTAAATCAAGAGTTGCACTGGTGTACTTAGGATTTTGAAAAGGTTTGTTGAATAGAAATAATATTATATTCACGGAACAGTGGCTATGACACAAAAAATTGGTTGTTAACGTCTCAAGCAACCTAATTTACTCTGGAACCATGAGTAGGCCTATCCCTGGTTAACGCCATTGGGTTATAGCGGACTTGTAACCTCCACCAGTTCTTCTCTCTGTGTACCTCTTTGACAGTTAACTAAATTTTAACTGAGCGAGCTAAGTGAAAATGGTTTTAAATCAGCGAGGTAAGTGAAGATGTAAAAGTTTATGGTGTAAAATATTAAAAAATCTTGTAATTATGTTTATGAATGGTAATATAGAACTTATTAATTATCATTATTATTACTATTGAAGAAAGGAGCAAAATAAACATTGTTCAAAACATTCCTTATCATTAGACTATCGAAACCTTTCTATACGTAATGCAACCTTCTTTGGTGACGTTAGTTTCAATTGTGTTTTGATCTAACAGAAAACATAACTTGTTGTCTAGATGATTGTTTACGACAAAGCCTTCGCAAAATGAATTGTGCAAGCATCTAATAGCACAGGTAGTGGTACTTCTGAATTCCAAGCTATTGATAGAATTAAGTCTCTGATCCAATAGGCAAATTTCCTGACCACCGGAGTTGAAAAGCTTCCTGAAGTAGCCTGGTGCAACTAATAATATAAAAATATATACATTATTATTTGTATTGTATTATACATTATATATATACTGTATATATACTGTCTGACTCACCTCATTATCAACATTGTATTGATTATGTCAGTGTTGGTTTACAACATCGAATTAATGATGAAAATAATAATAATAATAATAATAATAATAATAATAATAATAATAATAATAATAATAATAATAATAATAATAATAATAATATAGGCTACTGATTTATGTCGATAATACAGTGGAATGATGGGTTGGAAGAATGCAATGATAATAATTATTTTATTTAATTTACAGTTTCACTAAATTTTGGTAAATTTGATCCACAGATAGAGTACAATGACGTATGGAAATGAGTTACAAATAGGCCTACATAGTGTGGGTGTATCTGTCGTTTTCTCTATTGTAGTTGTTATGTAAGTTGTTGTGTGCACATTTGTAAGAGTTCCATCCGTAGTTACATCTGTTCTTGTTTCCGTTGTTGGTTCTGAAAAAGAGAATGAATATGTAAAATACCTTAGGGATAAAACATTACCTAAGTAATAATCTATATTATGATTACGTTGGGATTCGAAAACTACCGGTCTGAAAAACTAACAACAAAGATCATTAGTCTCCATCTCACAAAGTGAATATATTTCCATATTTCATCTTCATTAAGGGAAAAATAATGACTTTACTGTTGTTATCAAGCCCGTAGCGTTGGGGGCGGGGGGAGGGCTTAAGGTGTTACAACGAACCGCCAAAAAACTGGACTGCCCTCCCATGGGAAAAGGGCATAACTGACAATTTGCTGTTTTGGAGATATTAAGCAAAACGTGTAATTTATTTAGCCCTAAAATGTGTTTTGGTATTTGATTTCATGGTTAATGTATTCTAATAGACAAATAATGTCTCTTCCAGTGTAGCACACATTTTTTTCTATAAATATTGATTTTTGCGCTCAAAATGTCAGTTATGCCCTTTTGCCGTGGGTTTTCTGATTCAAGACATGATGACAAACTTTGGCAAATGGGTATAAGTACCCACTTTAGTTCCTTTCAACGCAATTTTGAGTCAGATTATTCAAAAATAACATTCAATATATAATTTCATATGTTAGTCATGTATAAACAATAAATAAATGTACAATTATACCAAAGAAACGCATTAAATAATAAATACTAAAATTACAAACGATTAAAAACCCATGTATAGGCAAACCAAGTATACAAACAAGAAAATGAATTAACATTAGTATGCTATTATGTATCAACAAAGCCTTTCTGGCTCAAGGTGCTAGATCGAGGACCCTTTGGGTAGGAGGCCTTATAGACCCCTAGGGGTCTGGGGCTCCGCACAAGAGCGCATAGGCTTTACGTCACTGCGTGAAGGATGCATGCGTATGCGTATAAGAAATAGAACTGCTATTTAGTTAGATTGCGCGTGTGACTGTTTCTATGTGTACGTTAAACAAGAATTACAATTATTTTTTAAATTTTATTTACAAAGTAAAATAATAATTTATATTTTAAGTCATGTAATTACAATATAAATTAGGCCTATTATTATTATTATTATTATTATTATTATTATTATTATTATTATTATTATTATTATCATTATTATAAGCAATTCTTCTCTATGATCCAAATTCAAGTAATAATGAAATGATTACGAATATTATTGTTTTTTTATATTCTAATAAAATATTTAGAAAATGTATTATATATATAGATTTAGATGGAAAAGTAAGTTGTTGTTTGCTTAGTGAACACAGTTGATTTGAGTAAACTGTGCAGTTATACCTTTTTGTCATGCCATTTGCTATAAATGAATGTTGTAGTTGTGCCTTTTTGCCATAGTTATTTGCTAAATAATCGTTTTAGTTGTCCCTCTTTGTCACTGTTATTTCTAGTTAAAATATGAATTGTTATTGTGCCATGGTTAATTATTTTTATTAAACAGTTACTATTTTCCTATAGTTTATTTCCATAGTATTAGGCCTAAACTGTTGCCATTCAAAGTAAGGCAAGATTATATAGCATAAATTTACTAGGCTTATCATGTTTGCCTAACATTAACTAGACATTGCTACTGTCAAGAATCATACTATTTAACCAATTTCTATTTACAAATTGTGAGTACACAAACAGTAAGAATAATAAAAATAATACAACTTAACATGCAACCTTCATTGTAACCAGGGAGAAAGCTCTCTTCTGATTGGTTGGCTGTTGAAAGAACGTCACGCTTCAGCGTATCACAGCCTATCTTTGCAGTTATGCCCTTTTTGCCTTGGGAATTTACTGAAAATTGTGTAGTTATGCCCTTTTCCAATGCCCCTATCTAGCCCGGGGGACACTTTTTTACAATTTTTTTTTTTTTGTGTCAACATGTGTAACATGATGTATTGACCCCACTAGGCTATATAACTCATTTTCGCCAAAAAATGTCAGTTACGCCCTTTTGCCATGGGGGCATTGATGAGCCTCTTAAATAAATTGAATAATAAATTAAAGGATAAGCTAAGCTTAGGTAGTAGAAATGTTTAATCGTCAAAGAAAAGTCCTAATTTGAACCCCAAACTGGGAGTGTAAGACATGCCACCCAGGCTACATTCATTGATGGAAGGTAGAGTACCACATGCCCAGTTTGTTAGACACTACAATTCTGTATTGAATGCATTGTAGCATCCCTACCGGGAAATGTTGTAGGTGTACTGCACTTGGCACTTTTTTCTGTTTCTGGATCTGAAAATTCAATGATATTTTAAAAATATAAATACTCATATATAACAAAACATACATTGCAGCATATTCTCTATGCAAATGTAGTTATGATTAACATTGAATTCTTAACTTGAAAAGGTCCTCTGGAGGTTTAGTTAGCGTATAAAATCATAAATATAGGCCTAACATACATTTATGAAAAAACATGCTCATTTACATGACATTATTTATAATAATAACAACATTAATAACAACAATAACAATAATAGCAAAAATAACAACAATAAATCATGAATATAGAAAAATAGACCTAACACACATTTATGAGAAACTTGCTCAGTCATGATAGGCTATTATTTATAATAATAGTAATAACAATAACAAAAAACAATAACAACAACAATAATAATAAAAAGTATAACAACCGTGCAATAATAATAACAATAACAATGATGATGATGATGATAATAATAATATTAATAATAGTAACAATAGTAATGATAGTAGTAATAGTAATAATAGTAATAATATTAATAGTGATAATAATAATAATATTAATAGTAGTAGTAGTAATAATAATAATAATAATAATAATAATAATATAATAATAATAATAATAATAATAATAATAATAATAATAATAATAATAATAATAATAATAATAATAATAATAATAATAATAATAATAATAATAATAATAATAATAACGAATCGTCATTAAAAAGGATCCGTGGTGTTGCGTTCTCCATAGAATTGCGTCTGCCGACGACCGTCAGGCGCAGTAAGTGCCCGGTTATAAAAAAAAAACTGCCTTTGAATGTTTTAACAAAACCCACACCTTGCAATACCAGCAATTTATTTGTTAAGCTTGGCCTCTACTCGTTATGTAAATTCATGAGATCAGTTCTTACTACCGGTACTGTTTAAGTAGAATTGACAAATCTACATACTTTTGTCAATGCAGTGTTTTTAGAAAGTCTTAGTTATGACAGATCTGGAACAAAGTGTATTGTTAATTATGCCTACTCATTTTCGTTTAATTTACGGTATTTCATTTTGATATAGAAATGACATTATGGAAATAACAGTTTTGCATTGAATTGAATACAGTAACAATCAAGATATCGTACCGTTATATATGAAAAGTCCGAATGGATTTTCGAATACTGTGTCACTGACTGCTTGTATATTTCCTCCCGTAACTTTGTCAGCCCGAAAAATAGCGGTGTCTACGCTTACCCAACATATACTAGATTCATACACGGCTAAACCACGAACAATGAAGTGGCCAAGTTCACCCGTACTGACAAGTTGTCGAACGTTCCCTAAGTTAAGATCAGATGCTCGTATCTCTTCCGCATCTCTGTCGTACCAGTAAACAGTTCCACCTTTTAAGTCACATGATAAAGATATTATCTAATTCATAATTGAAAACATGTACAAATTGTATTGATTTGAAATGCAATGCAATATTCTTTATGCCTATTATTTCAGGATTTCTTAGAAAGAAGGCTTTCTATTTTGTGTATCATGAAACTCTCTTAACTTATGTTCATAATGCACTTTTTTTTTTATAAGAACCAGTAAAAGTTTGCATAGTCACACCATGGACCTAATAGGTCACACCTACTGCAAATAAAGTACAAACAATGTTTATTGGTTTCTTTTTAAACAAACTACAAGCCTTATTTGACATTTCACCTGAACCTCAGTTTGTTCTTAATTTTTAAACAAATTCAGCCTTAGTGTTCTTATAAAATGTGCCCTGAATAGGGGTTAGTCGTAGTGTTAAAAGATAAAATTTCCATCTTTTCGTGGCCATAAACTTTCCCCAAGGAGGGGTTCTACTGTGTCTAACTACATTAAAGGAATGTTGTGTTTCTATAGCTTACCTTGATTTCGAACAACGCATTACAAGTTTTCTTCAAATTTTATTACATATTATAATATTTTTTCCAGAAGTAATTAAAATTGGAACGGTAGACGTCTCAAGTCAATTAACGTCTTCTTTTCATTTTTAAATTGAAGTTATTACTCGTGTCAATAGGTTATTTCATTGTCCGTAGTGTGAAGATCAATCAACGTACACACGACCACACTCTTGATACGTAATGTTTGTGTTGATTGGCCTTGGATACATGGTCAGTTTATACTACAAAACTGCTCATTAAGTATATAATGAATTAATAATGGAATATTGCAATTTAGCTCGTACCATCTGCATGACATATCTGCACATACTAAAAAAAATTCGCCAATCAGATTCTTTCAATACGGCAGTCTATTTTGTTTAATCACTAATGTTGAGATTTGTGTGGTTTTTTTTTTTTTTATTATATGTTCTATTTGTAGACTTTTTCCTTTCTTTCATGTTGCGTGGTAGTACACAAAAACAAAAAAAGTGAAAAAGGAAAAGAAAAAAAAAACAAGTTATGAGCCCTTGAAGCTTTTTTCATGTATTTTTTAAGATGTGTCACTCATAAGCCAGTATTGGCTGGTCTTATTGTATTATAAGAGTGTGACGTTAATAAAGACAAAACTAAACTAAACTACTAATAAGAGGTGAAATAGCAGAATTGTTCCCTACCTGGGAAATCCACGGCAAGGGATAAAATCCATGTAACGGACGGATAAGAGACAATATCAGACACATTAAACAACCGGAAACGTGATATCCGTGAATGCTGGACGATGAAGCCGAGGCTGGAGAAAATACAATATAATTGACGTTTGCATAGATCAGTGCTAATATCTGTTTAAACATATTAGATATTTGATAAGAATAATAATAATGATGGTGATGATGATAATAATAATAATAATAATAATACAGTAATAATAACAATAACAATAATAACAACAACAATAATAATATTAATAATAGTAATAGTAGTAGTAATAATAATAATAATAATAATAATAATAATATGTACGTTTTTATATACCGCTATGATACACATGTCTCAAAGCACTTTTCGACATTACTGTATTACCATTGGAACGATGGCTATGAAGGAAATTTCATAGCTCGCCGCATGAAATCAGCGCATCTTTCACTCGAACCTCCTCAGGTACTGGTGTATAGTATTTTAAAATGTTATAATTCTTGTTGAAAATTAGCATTAATGATACTTTTATTGTTATTGATTACTAATGCTATTGTTACTGGTATTTCAAATCTTCTTCTTGCCCAACTACCACCGTGACCTTCAGCGGCGGATTCAAGCGGGAGGGGGACCAGCCCCATAACTTTAAAAAAAAACATATAATTTCATATTGTATACCATTTCATATCATTTCATTTCCTTATGGAATGGAGTTAGCTTGGTGGTTAAGATGCTTGCCTTCTAATCGCAGGTTCATGGATTTAATTTCTGTCAGTGTGTCACAGTAGAACTTTTTCTCAAGACTTAAAATAACTCCATTCTATAAGCCTCGTAAAGAGTTATAAACCAATTGCTCCATCCTGTAAGTGGCGTGTGTACTTGATGTTGAATGTTTTTATACATCGGTAAATGCAAGCAATGGATTTTTACATTTGCATTTGACATGTTATGATATTTTAATATATATTAAAACGGTAAGGACTAAATCTAGCAGCCACGAGGAACATTATATTTAAATATCATGAATAATCAATTACCAGTCCGGCAAGTGTGACGGCGGTGTAAGTCGTGTCTTATCTAGCGAATCCCAGCAAGCGTTGGAACGAGTGGAATTGTGTGCAGTCCAGCTTGCGAAGTGTTTCTGTTTCTCCCGAAACTGGTCTATCCTATTTAAAGAAGCGTTCGCTATACGTAGACTACACCCTTAACTTGCTTAACAATGGGCTCAGAGCTTCAAAAGAGCTTTCTTTGTTTTTGTAGGTATATTTGATCATTAGAGTAAGAATGCTTTGATCTTTTGTTTAAATCACTGCTATGTCACCTACTAGAGGTAATGTTTTGATTGGTTAAACACTTTTGGTACTAGTGCATATAAGCTTGCTAATATGGATAATTTGGATAATTTTTTCATTCCTGATGATGACATAATTAATGTCGAAATATTGAATCCCAACACGATGGCGTGTATTTCAATACTTGAAGTATGTATTATACTTTCTTATCTGAGATTAATCAGTGGACCTTTCGAAGTGTTTCTGCGTGGGCAAGTTCTCGATATGTCAGCGTGTTGTAGGGCCTAGGTTATGGAGTGTAATGATAGTCAATAGCAGACCTACCAATTCTCATGCCTACGGCGTGAGAATCACGCCTCAGTGCCTCTTCTCACGCTCACCCGCTCAACAATCATTTTCTCACACCGGTAGTCGATGAGACAAAAAAAGAAAAAAAAAGAAAACAAAACAAAACACAGGGAGCTATAATATTTAAAAAATCGATGATCGGAAGTGCCCCCTACTACCTTCTGTATGCAAGAGGAGCGAGTCTTTTCAATGGTTCGGAAAAACAGAAAGAAACTATACAGGCCATAATTATATTTAGCGTTTGGGTTGATAAAAACCGGCACTGGTATCTTCGCATAGTTTATTTCCATTTCCTGTCAATTGAGTAACCCTAAACACTGCTCTTCTAAGGGGCTCCACAATATAATAAAATCTACAGAAGAAACTAAACTACAGTAAATTTTAAGCTATTATCTTTTGAATTCAGAGTAAAGGACAGGCTGGTACGCTTTTCTCTTGTCGAATTATTTCGGCTTGAGACATTAACAACTTGATTTTCTCGCTATGGAGATCATATGTACTTCCGTATCAATTGAATTGTATTACGTTTTTAAATAAATCATTAAGCCTCATGTAATGTGTTTGCTTTTGGTAGGTCTATTACCGATTACTTTGTAAGAGGTTTTAATTATTTAAAGTAACCAAATAGGCCTGTTGGCAGACAGAAGAAAGATCAACAAAGTGAAAGCTATACTAATGGAGCACTAAAAACTATGGGTTTGGATTTTTTATGGTATACGGGGGAGACAGGTGAGCGTTGTTTGAGTGAGGTTGATTTTACAGTTGTCCTGAGCTGCCCGAAGAATGTTTTTTTTTTTATCGGCCCCATTTCGGCCCCTTCCACCCCCTTTTCGGACATCTCTGGATCCGCCCAGGTGTCTGCACATTGTATTCTCTGATTGCCTTCTGTAGGCCTAAGTGTATTATGACATTGAAGATGACATTAAATGTTAAAAATACTCCCGTAAGTTGTAGTCACACCTTGTGTCGACTATAAGCATGAAGTCAAGAGTCAGACTATTTTCAGAATAAATTATCGTTTTTATTTTATAGCTCATAAGACGAAACCTTTCAATTATGATTCATTCACTATAATAATAAAATTATTATATGAAGATTATTTGTATGGGAATTTGTGAAACAGAACTCGGTAAAACAGCAGTAGGGCTATTATAGTAATCCATCCATCCACTACGTCGTCGGACCAAAAATTAAAAAAAGTAATAATTTGCCTATCTATCCAAATGATTCCCAATCACTAATATTGTGGTCTAAATGCACATTTAGGACCAAATTAAGCCATGAAAACTCTTCCTATAAACTCCAACAGGGATATTTTTATTCCGGGCCGACGGCCGAGGCTTCGTCGTCGCCTGGACCCAATCGGACCCCTCCGTCGGACACGTCGGACCCCTTGTCGGCAAATTTCTGGCTCAACTACTGGAAACAGATGCTACTATAAGGTGTTTTTTTTTTTTTTTTTAGGAAAACCAGACTTCTGCGAGGGCCAGCCGAGCCTGTTATGCAGACATTTGTATATTAGACCCGACACTATAATTGTAAAGTTGTAAATTTGAAGCAAAGAAACATGGAGATCGATATTACAGTATACTCACATCATCATCATCATTTTACTTTAATAATCAGCTTTAATATACGAATATTACCCCAAAAGTTGAATAATACTAATAATAATTATCAATAACGATGATTTAGCCTATTAATTATGCCTATTATTGACAAGATGGTATTAATTACAGCGAATTTTTAACACGAATACACAATATTTTAATAAGACAAATAAGCCCATAACTATGCCTATTCCCATGACAGTATCAATTTAAACTTAGTACATTAAGCACACTTACTTTAATGTGTGTTTTTATGTTTAGCCGATTTCAGGCTCAATGATCTTATTTTACACACTTTCTAAAGATAGAAAATGATTATTGTAAATACTAATAATAATAATAATAATAATAATAATAATAATGATAATAATAATAATAATAATAATAATAATAATAATAATAATAATAATAATAATAATAATAATAATAATAATAATAATAATATAAAATGAGTATTGGTTGACTCCTCATACGTTTTTATATAATCATTTGCCAATCTAATACTGCTAAACCAGCTAAAATTGTCTTCAACTTTATTAAACCATATATACCAGGTTAAAGAGATTTGTGTGTCTACTGCCCTCTGGGCCGTAGACTAGGGGTGCCATACGCAGAAAAAGTCTAGGTCTATGTAAAAATCAAAATGTAATTGCAAAATTCAATGTCTAATTTTAAAAAAACATTAGGTCTAATCAGGGAACAGTTAAATTACACTGTTTCCCATAATAATTTCACTGTTCTCTAGTCTAATTTATCAAAATGTAGATCTAGTTTCCCAAAGCGAAGTTCTAATTTTACAAAACGTATTTAAAATTTTCCAACATGTAATTCTAATTTAATTTAATTAATCTAATTTAATTTAAATTTTAATTAATGTAATTTAATTAATTCAAATTTTAAAACGTAGGTCTAACCAGGGAGATTGTGCAATATGCAATTTTCTCTGGTCTGACTTGATCAAACGCCTTCTCCAAGTTCTGTTCCAAAACATAAATCAAAAACCAGTCAAGCATGACTGGTTTGATATACATTTGACAACTGGACATGCGAAATGTAAATGAAAACTAGCCAGCCAAGCATGACAGGCCCGTTCCATTAGTGACGGGGAATCAATTTTCGCTGCAGTCCAATACCTGAACAACCCTTCGCAACGCGTACCTGATGCTCAGGGTACCGGCGGTCACGGGCCCTATGCTATAAATTTTCATTCAATAAAATAATCAAGCAGTATGTTTACTTTTAAAGCTAAAAACAAGGAAGAAAAACAAATCGCGATAAACATAGTATATAGTAGTCGTATGGTACTGCTGTATGCTTATGACAATTTACAATTCGAACTTTACTTTTATTTGGTGTGGGGGTGGGGGAGGGGTGGGGATTAAAATACCACTATACAATTTTGTATTTCACTTGCATTGGCGAGCGGGCTAGCATTAGTTTTTCACCTTGTAGTAAAATTGATGGTCTCAGACCTATAGTTCCCAGCAAACACAAAACGCGCAGTTGGCGGATCCAGAGGGGGGGGGTGTCAAGGGGGTCGGACGAACTCCCTCCCCCCCCCTGTGAAGAAACGTAACAAAATAAAACTGGGTCCTGGCTTACAAAAGGCATGCTAACCTACCTAGGTATAGGTTGGGAGATCAGACAATTACTAGGCTTAGCCCATCCAGAGGTCACGGAACTAGGGGGAGCTGCGTTATGGAGAGTAATGTTTGACCGGAAATGGTCTGCCAGTTGGTTGTTACCATGCGCCAGTGATGTTGGAGTACAGCAAGAGGAAACTATTTATGTAATGCATGAATAAAGTTCGGGGTTTGTCGGGTAGTGAAATGATTATTGTACATTTT